GCAGACGCTGCTGAGGCTCTGATTATAGCTTCTCAGGCTACACTGAAGGCTGCTTTCTGGGAATACCTGCAACTCTGTTTGCCGAACATATTTGGACCCCTCTCAGGGCGAGCGGGGACTGCTGGTAAGCTTCTTAAGGCCCCAGAAGAATTCCTACACTAATGATGAATGAGGAGTTGGTAGATTAATACCCCAACTTCCTGGCCTCTTAGTTTGTATTATCCTAAAGTCTGTTTAACATTGTCTCCCAGGGCTCCCCGTAGAAATGAGCTCCAGTTCCCCACAGTGTTAACCAGTCTGATAACATATCCTACATTGGCTTTCATCTCATTCCTGATCCACTTCCTCACTACCATATTGCTGTTTCTGGAAATAAACTATTTGCACTCAAATTCAAGACAAGTATTTATTCCTAATAATAAGAGTGGTGGGATTTAAAAGGCATGCTAGTAATAATAATGCTAGGATAACAGCAGTGAGTGGGGGGACTGTCTCAGGGCAAACAAGAAATAAGGTCACCCTAATAATTATGCTTTTTGTCCTAAAATCTGTTTATGTTAATAGTTGCTTCAGCTTCCTTTTGCTTAGCATTTGCCTGGTATATCTTTTCCCATTAATTTACTTCCAACTTTGCCAAATAGTTTTTTTTTTTTTTTTGGTGTGTTTCATTTAAATGGCATATAGTTGAGTTTTTAAAAATACTATCTGACATCTCGGGACTAACCAAAAAAGATAAGAAGAAAAATAAAATAAAATAAAATACCATCTGGAAGATCTCTGTATTTTAACTGTTGAATTTAGGTCATTGATAATTTAGCCTTGTTACTACCATCTAATTTTTGGCTATCTATTGACCTACTTTTTCTATGTTTCTTTTTTCTCTTTGAGTTTGTGTTTGTTTTCTTATTCTTTTCCCTCCTTTATTGGTTTGGAGCCTATACATTCTGATTCTATTTTTTTAGTGGTTATCCCAATAATTTCCCCCTGAATACATAATAAAATCTGAAATTTAGCCACTTCATCCTTCCCAAAGAATTCAAGGACCTTGGAATAGTTTACCTCTGATAATTCCCCTCCCAATTTACATCATGTTATTTTCTTGTATTTTATTTGTCAGGTTTCAAAACCACAAATTAGATATTATTATTATCATTGTTTTATATGTGATTATTTAGATTTGCCTAGCTATTAATTTATTTGCTTACTATTCTTTCTTGCATCTCAAACCTTTTCTTTGGTATGATTTTCCTTCTTCCTATAATATATCTTTCAGAACCTCTTTTACTGTTGATAGTAAACTCCTAATTTTTGTTCATCTGATAATATTTTTATTTTATCCTCTCATTTGAAAGTTTGTTTGCTAGGTACAATACTCTGAGTTAATAGTTATTTTTGCCCATCATTTTGAAGCTATTATTCTACTTTCTAATGATTTCCACTACTATTTTTGTCTAACTGTAGAAGATCCATCTTTTTCTCTTGGTTTTTAAGATGTTCTCTTTGTCTTTGGTATACTCTAGTTTTACTACATTTTCTGTAGTTGCAGAAATATTTTTATATGTCTTGTTGTTAACCTTCCTATGTGTGTGTATTTATGTTTGTCATGAGTTCTGGAAAATTTTTAGTCATTAACTCTTAAAATATAGCCTCTCCTCTAGATTCTCTATTATCTCCTTTGAATTTTTGATGAAATCTGTTACACATTTTCATTCTACATGCCATATCCCTTAACCTCTCCTTTTCATATTTTTCATCTGTTTCTCTGTGTCTTATTCTGAATAATTTCTTCAGACCCATCTTCCAATTAACCCTTTCTTCAGTAGTACTTAATGTGCTATTTAGCCCTTTTATATACATTTTTATTTCAATTATTTTTATTTTATTTATAAAATTTCTATTTCCTTTTCAAATCTGATCACTTTTGATAGTCTCTTGTTGCTTATTCATTTTTGCAATTTTTATTTTTTATTTAAGTAGTCCATAATTAATCTATATCTGATAAGTTCAATATCTCAAGGCTTTGGGGGTTTAAATCTGTTGCTTCTTATATCTGTTGACTTTCACTCATGGTGATTTGTTTCCTTGTGTGTTTAATGATCTTTTATTGTTAACTAGTCTTTGGTTGATCTTAATCTCTGAAAATTTTAGGTGCTTTTCTTAAGGGAGAATTTGGAGTTTTATTCGTTAGGAACATGGGCTTTTGCCAACTAGGGGCCTCTTCTAGGGTACCAGCTGAATTCAAGAGTCTCAGTTTCAGTTCTCCCCACCTTGCCACTGGCCCAAGTATACTTTTCCATTATAATGCTAATATAAATATTTGCTGCTGAGTAATCTCACATATTATGAGTGCTAAGTTGTATGGCATCACTGTACTTCCTAATTTGTTTTGTTTCTGGCCCCTTTAAAGTTTCTCCCAGCTACCCTCTTCCTCTCAGTCTCATACAAAACTTGAGTTGGAAGAGGTGACTCTGGTCTCAAAATGAAGGTAAAATCATTGCTGTGTTGCCTCCAGCCCAACTCTGGCTGCTGGGGGCTAAGGGCCATGATCCAAAGGAATCACAACAGTTAAGATAACTGTTTCGTGGTTGAGCTTTGAAACTACAGAGGATAGTTGAATATTTTGAGAAATGGGGCACACTCACAGATTGTGTGGTAATGAGAGACCCCCCCCCAAACAAAATGTTCCAGGAGCTTTGGCTTTCTGACTTATTCTTGTACTGGAGAGGTGGAGGCAGCAATATGTGTTCCATCACCAGGTTGATGAGTGTGTAGTGGAACCAAAGAGAGCTGTTTCTAGAGAGGATCCTATAAAGGCTGGTGTTCATCTAACAGTGAAGAAAATTTTTGTTGCTGGTACTAAAGATACAGAAGAATATAATTTGAGAGACTACTTCGAAAAGTAGGGCAAAATTGAAACCACTGAAGTTATGGAAGACAGGCAGAGTGGAAAAAAGAGAGGATTTGCTTGTATAACTTTGATGACTATGATACAGTTGGTAAAATTGTTCAGAAAAACCATACTATTAATGAGCATAATTATGAAGTGAAAAATGACCTTTTCAACAAGAGATGTAGTCTGCTGGATTGCAAAGAGGTCATGGAGGTAGATCTGGCAACTTTATGGGTCTTGGAGGAAATTTTGGAGGTAGTGGAGGTAATTTTGGCTGTGGTGACAACTTTGGTAGAAGAGGAGGCTATGGTGATGGAGGTGGTGGCATCAGAGGTGGTTATGGAGGAGGTGGTAGCGGCAACTATGATGGTGGTCCTGGTTATAGTAGTTGAGGGGGATATGGTGGTGGTGGACCAGGATATGCAAACTAAAGTAGTGCATATGGTGGCAGTGGTGGAGGATTTGATTGTTACAGTGAAGAAGAAAATTTTGGAGGTGGTAACTATGGTGCTGATGGAAACTATAATCATTTTGCAAATTATAGTGGATAATATCAATCAAATTATGGACCCATGAAAGGGGAAAGTTTTGGTGGGGAAAGTTTTGGTGGATGAAGCTAAGGCAGGCCCTATGGTAGTGGGTACAGATGTGGTGGTGGAAGTAGTGAATATGGTAGCAGAAGGTTCTAAAAACAGAAAAAAGCAAAAGTTCTTAGCAGGGGAGTGAGTGAAGAGTTGTCAAGAAAACTGCAAATTATTTTAAGACAGTTGTCCCAAATGCAGCACAGGAACTGTAAAAATCTGCCACTGAAGGAACAATAATCCATAGTCAGAAAAAGTTACTGCAGCTTAAACTGGAAACCTTTCTTGTTCAAGAGTGTCATAGGCACAGTTTGCAAAAAGGCAGCTATTGATTAATGCAATCTAGTGTCAATTAATAGATATATATTCCTGAGGTCTTTTTATCTGTTGTAGCTTTTTCTTTTTCTTACATCAGATATATTGCCCTATAAATTGTGGTAGTAGTACCAGGAATACAAAATTAAGAAATTTTTAACTCTTCAAAAAAAATCTCCCCCATTGAAGGTCAACAATGAAAAACAAATGTAGTTTAAACAGGACCTAGTTAATTTGAAACAGGAGGACCTCTTAGACATCTAGTCTCAAGTATCTAAGTATTTAGCAGAAATTCTACATATCAATCACTTTTCACTTATTGCAATCTAGCTTTAACCTTTAACCTTTAAACTACAGATCTGAAACTACTTACGCCAAGTTGATCAATGATCTCCTTATTGACAAATTTAATGTGCACTTTTAATTCCTTTTCATTTGTCACACCCCCCACCCCAAGTCCTGGATGCTCCCTCTTTCTTGAAACCCTCTTCTTCTTCTGATTGTGTGATACTATTATCTGTTATATTTCCTCCTATCTCATTGGCTATGCCTAGTTAGCCTTCTTGGCGAGGTCCTTTTAACTTGTCTTCACATATCCATGTCCTCAGAAATCTACATGCAGCTTTCTTCTTCACCTTCTACTCTGTACAGTCTCCCAAAATAATCTCATCCACTGCCGTGGCTCAGTACCTGAATTACTCCTTGTGTCTTGTGCTTCCAAGCTCTTATACATGCTTCTCCCTCTGATTGGATTGTGTCCTTTCATTCTTTTAAAAACCAGATTAACCTTTCTAACACTGAATTTAGGCACATTTTCCTCCAAGACACCTTTGCTGGCAACCCCTAATCTGGGTTAGGTGACTCTCCTACATACTTCCAGAGCACCTTGCATCTGCTCTGTCATCACATTTTATACAGGGTATTGTAATAATCCGTTCACTTATTTGTCTTCCTGACATAGTTACGCTGTATCCCCAGTGTCTAGCACATGGCCTGGTCCATGGTAGGTAAGAAAATGCTTGTTGAATAAATTAAAGAACACCTGAATCAATACATGAATGAAAGGATGAGTGATGATAATGTTAGAGTGGACGAGTTGGGGTTTAGAAAGAGAGTGAAGGATGGTGAAAGAAGATGAGAAGAAAAAAGGGAAATGACTGGTATGTTTAAGCTGTTCGTTTTGTTCTCCTTGCTTAAATAGAAAAAAGTTGTCATTTCATTTCATCAAAACTTTATTGAGCATCCAGTATGTGCTAGGCACATACTATGAGCATCCAGTACATGCTAGGCACATGGATGCTAGTAATACAAAGATGAAGATCAAAACAAGACAAAACAAAAACAAAAAAAACATTTCCTTACTTACCACCCCAATTTAAGGCAGATTTGGCTTGAGCCTGGAAAGCTGGCCCCCTCGGGGATGCAGCACCAGGGTATGGCACACTCTCAACTCACCCTAACCTTCACCTGCTCACGGCTGACCAGCAGGTACCCCTTCTCCAAGTCCTGCATCTTCCACCCGCCTGAGCAACTGTCCTCTGCATGCATTATCTCTTTAAGGATGAGGCACCAGGGAAGGTCAGGGGAGCTAGGAGTGACACCTTCTCCAGTGAGCCTGGGAAGTGCACAGGGACAGGTTGCCGAGAGGGGCATGCTGACCAGGGCGAGGGCACAGGAGGCAAACTAGAAATGTTGGTGCCCTTGGGGCTGGGACAAGACTGGCCTAGGTGTGGAGGTGGTGGGTAACGGGCCTGGGCAGTTGCTCCACGGGATGGAGGAGCCAGAAATGGAGCTTAGGTGGCCACGGAGGGGCCAGGGATGCGAGGACCCTGGGACGGATTAGGGAAGACAGGATGGCGCACACAGAGGGCCTCCTTCTCTTTCAGCCTTTGAATGGCCCTCTCACCTCACATGGCGGCTTACTGCATCTCCCGTGAACCGTGCTAGAGGCGGTGGCATGGGCGTGGCCTGGCTGCACGGTGGCCCAGCCTCTCCTCATTCCGAAGTTAGTGCGATTAGGGAGTCTGCCCCTGGCCTGTGTCAGGGGATGGGAGCCTCTGGGAGCAGAGCAAACGGTGGGAGCGGGGGCAGAGGCCAACGGTTGGACCCCGAGCCCCGGACAGTCAGGGACGCAATTAACTTCCTCCCCCTACCGTTTGTCTGGAGGTTAGAACCCTATTCTCTCACTACTGAAGGAAGCTCGACAACCTTCCGGAGGGTAATGATTGTTTGAAAGGCTTGTTTTGTGAGGAAGCCAAGGAGAAGGTATGAGTTTGAGGTCTTAAAACAATTTCTCCCTTGATCTGGGCCAGCGGAAAGAGTGGGAATCCACTTCTCCACAGGAGTGGGCCCATCCCCCTCTCCTGTTCAAGAACGGAGACCGGAATGCTCGGCACGGCTCGCGCTGCGGGAGGCTTTGGGAGGAGGCCGCGCGGCGGGAGGCCGAGCGCGGCCGGAGTCCTTTGCCCCTGCTCCGGCCCAGGGGGTGAAGGAGTGTCTTGTGCTTCTCCCTCACCGACCTGTAGGTACCCAGGTACCAGGTGCCCACGGAAGGTGCTCCAAGGCACCGTCTTTGCAGTGATTCCCCGGGTGCTCAGAGCAGCCCCTGCACACCCAGGACCGGCACCTGACCTCTTAGTTCAGTACAGTCGTGCGTTTTGGGAAAGTGGCCTTTCCAATCTGGCCTTGCCAGAAAAGTGCTCCGGGACTCAGACGTTCTTTCGGAGGGAAGGGCAGCGGGGGTGAGGGGAGGGGGGGATATAAGAGCTCCCTAGGAAGAGCACAGGGTAGTCACGGGGGTTAGGTAACTGATGTTAGTTTCCATAAAATTCCTTTTGGGGATTGGGACGGAAATTTAATAATCTATGTGGTCCTAAGAGGGCACAACCCATACCTGTTGAGAACACAGACAGAAAACCGGCAGCAAACGCCACCAAATCGACACTCTGCCGCACGCGGCGCAACCCCTACCGCCATCTGCGCATGCGCACAACGTCCACCGCGCCCCCGCGCCCCCGCGCCCCCGCCGGGGCCTCCCTTATCCCAGCTCGCGCCTAGCCGGGGCTGCCCCGCCCTCCCAGGCCGCCGCGGCCACCCAGCGCTGCCGCCTCGCGGACGTCCCAGGGCGGCTCAGGCGCTGATCTCCACCGGGCCGGTCTCCTCTTGCTCGCGGATTATGTGCACTCCCGCAGTCCGCAGCGTGCGCGAGGCGCTGCGCGAGCGGCCGGGCGAGCCCGGGGCCCTGGGCGGCGACGTGTGCGTCCGGCCGGTGGCGGGGGAGCGCGCTGGGGAGCGCGGGTAGCGGCGGGCCGAGCGGATGGGCAGCCCGGGCGAGCGGCCGGGCACGGCGGGCGACACGGAGTAGCCGGGCGGGCCGGGCTCTGTCGCGCTCCGAGGCTCCGGGACGGGGTTCTCCTCGGGCTCTGGGGAGTCCTGCAAGGACAGCGCGGCGGGGATCACCCGGCAGCCGGCCGGGTCTGGGAGCGCGCCTGTGTTAGAGGGCGCTGGGAGTACCCAGGTGAGGGAGGCCCAGTTCCCTCCGCACTGCCACCTCCTGGAGGAGGCAGACGTAGGTCTGGCTTTCTTGCAGTGCCTGGCACATAATAGGTGCTCAGTAAATGTCGAAATGCGTTAACTTGAGTACTTTGCCCTTTATTCTCCTCTTTCCACCTGTCTCGGACAGCCTAAGACAGAGGTAGTCTGGAATAGTGGGAAAATCACCAGAACTGGTGTCCAAAAACCTAGGTTCATTCACTTGTTTAAACCTGGTTAAGTCATTTACTCTCCCAGCCTTATTTTTTCTAATCTCTAAAATCGGGGCAACCCAAATATTTCACAGGATTATTCTGAGTCCTGTAAAGTGGTAGCAGTTTGGTATGGCTCCCTAGTGCCAGGCACATGGTAAGGGCTCACTGCATATTTGTGGGGTGCCCAGCCCAGAGCTGCTCACCTTGTCCTTCAGGATGTAGAGGGCCATGGGGTTCTTCCGCTCCTGCTCTCCGCTTCGTGGGAGGGTGTCTGCTGCACAGGGGAAAGAACCGGGTGGCTGGTCCAGGTGCAGACTCTCACCAGCCGGCACCTATGCTCTTTACTCCCCACCTGGCCCATCACAACCTCCACAGACATATCTGACTACTCCCGGTCCTACCTTGGCTGCACCTCTCCCTGCTCTGTAGTCTTCGTGCAGTTGGTGGAGGAAGGGACCCTGCAGAGCTGGTCTCCTTGTTGCCCAGTTTTGCCTTCTCCCAGCATCCCACTGATGTGAGTGGCGATGGGATGGGTGAGTGGGTGGCTGGGAACTCACCTTCTTGTTTGAGGCGATCATCACTCTGATCCATGTATTCCAGGGAGTTTTGCTTCTCCAGCTTCCTCTGCTTCCTGCAAATTAATCCGGCCCCCTCCATGAGCAGGGCTATTGGATGTGAGCAGGAGAAGATCCAGGGGAACACAAGGAGGGATCTGAAGGCCATAAAAGAGGCCTATACTGTGGGTGTGGTTGGGAGCAGGAGGTAGTCCCTGAGCTTTGGAATGAGTCATATCTAGGTTGGCACCCTGCATCCGTCACTAGCATTGTGACTGTGGGCAAGTCACAAATCCAAGTCCTGTTATCATTATTTGTAAACCACAGATAGTCATACTTAAGAGGTAGTGTGCTGACCACATTCACAGTGCCTGGCCCAGAAAAGGTGCTCAGCAAGTGAAACCATTGTTAGTTGTGCTCGGGTTGTTGGGTGTTGTGAGCACAGGATGCTGTTCCATACACAATGCAAAAATGGATCTCCTGGGAAGAGGTGCAGAGCCCAGGGAGGAAAGGCATCTAAAGAGACTCAAGAGAAGAACAGAGCTTGCGGGTTAGGACAGATCGAACGATTAGGGTGCTCAAGGTGTGGAAATTGGAAAGTTACCTAGACTTTTTGGAGGGTTTCCAGCAGGCACAGACTGTCACCAAGGTCACAAGGAGGAAGATGCCTCCTGTAGACAAGATGATGTAAAGAGAGCTTCTTCCTAGGGAGAGAGAGAAGCAGAGAGGTGGGGAAGTCTCCAGAGAGGGGGCAACAGGTGTGGTGAGCTTCCTGTGGTGGCAGGAGGAGAAAAGAAGGCCCGGGCAGCACGGCTGGCGGTGGTGGAACTTGCATAGAGCCCTCTTGCCCACGTGTTGCTGTCCTCCATGGATAGTTGGCCCATCTGTGCACCCCCTCTAGAGACACTCTCTCTGGGACGACCTCAATCCCTCATGGCACCTGCCCCTCAGGGTTTGGAGTGCTAAAGGAGGGCAGGCAGGGAGACTCACTGTACACGGTGATCTTGACAGGCAGGCTGCGGCCCTGGCTGATGGGGTTCTCCACCACACAGCTGTACAGGTCGTCGTCCTCCATGAGCACACGCGTGATGGTGAGCACCTTTTGATCGGAGGACAGGAGCATTCTGGAGTCATTGAGGAGGGGCTTGCCATCCTTCAGCCAGGTGTAGCTGGGCTTGGTGCCATTCTCATGCGAGCAGTTCAGGGTGAAGGCCTCACTGAGCTCCAGGACAGTGGTTGAAGCCACTAATACCTGTGGCCTTGAAATGGGCACTGAGACCCAGGGTGGGGGAGCCGGTGAGTCATCAGCCAAAAAGCTTCTCCCTTCCCCTTGTTCTCTCCCTACCTTCCAACACACCTTTAATGCTACCTTTCAACTCAGTCTGTGGGCTGAGACCCTTTGGGGATCTTCAGTCCAGTCCTTCCCATCACTTATTCATTTACTCATCCACCAACTATTTACTGAGTACCAACTAGCCACAGGGACTATAATGCCGAACAAGACAGCAGTGGCATCTGCCCTTATTCCCTTCTTCCCAAATGCCTTTCCAAGACCACTGGGCTTTAATGTCTTAAACTGATCCAGGCTGAATAATATTTTAGTTGGGCTAAGCCTACGTCCAACTGTCTGGGTTCAAATCTTTGTTTTATCACTTACTGACTGTGTGATCTTAGGCACATTACTCAATCTCTCTATGCCTCACTTTCCTCATCTGCAAAATGGGAATAATGACATTAGCTATCCCTAGATTGTTATAAGCATTAAATGAATTGACATTTGCAAAGCACTTAAAATATTTTGTTTCTGGTATGTGGTAAGCACTTTATACATGTTAGCTGTGCCTATCTGCCAGTTTCTTTTGTTTTGTTTGGAGGTTTTTGTTTGTTTTGAGATAGAGTCTCATTCTGTTTCCCAGGCTAGAGTGTGGTGGCATCATCATAGCTCACAGCAACCTCAAACTCCTGGGCTCAAGGGATCCTCCTGCATCAGCCTCCCAGAGTAGCTGGGACTACAGGCATGCGCCACCATGCCCAGCTAATTTTTCTGTTTTTTAGTAAAGATGGAGTCTCCCTTTGTTGCCCAGGCTGGTCTCCAACTCCTGGCCTCAAGGGATCCTCCTGCCTCGGCCTCCCAAAGTGCTGGGGTTACAGGTGTGAGCCACCATGCCCGGCCGGCCCTATCTGCCAACTTTTGATATCCATTTGGCTTAGTCTCAGCTCCCAAGTGCCTTTTGCGTTGGTTTTTCCTGGGTCTAGCTAGTGTTCTGGGCAGACCCTGGCCCAATCTGGGTCGCCAGTCCTGCCTCCTTCCCTGCCAGAGCGCGTTACCGTCTACGGTGAGGTTGATGGTCTTCTCCCCGGTGAAGGTGTCATCGGTGATGGAGATCTCGACCTCATAGGTGCCCTCATCGGCCAGCTGCAGGTCACTGAGAAGCAGGGAGCCATTTTCAAAGAGCCTGATACGGTCTCGATAGTCAGGCCGCAGGGTGCCGATGACCTCCGTGCCGATGGACTGCACCACGGTCACTGGCTTGTCCCGCTTCAGCTGCCACTTCACTACAGGCTTATCGCTGCTGGTGCTGCTGTACTGCACAGAGAGCAGGGCTGACTTCCCCACAGTGCCATGAATCAGGCGCACTGGGCTGGTGATGTTCACTCCCTCCAGGGGGTCTGCGAACAGAGGTCCATGGGAAGAGAGCAGCGTCAGGCCCTGGGCTCCTCAGCCCACTTCCACCTTTGAGCCCTCTGATCTCCCAAAGCCTCGCCCCTCTGGGCCCTTCACTCCTGCCAGTCCTTGCTTCTTACCTGTGGGTGCCACTTCCTCTCCCACGGTACCTTGTGTCCCCTGCTCCTCGTCCTCTCTCACAGCTATCCCACAGCTGTCAGTCCTGCTCGCATCTGGCCTTCCTCTTGCAGATTTCAGCTAACACACACCATTATGTGCTTCAGTCATAGAAATATCTATTGATATCTCCTATGTGCCAGGAACTTTTCTACGTCCTTGGGATATATCAATGAGCAAAGCAGACAAAGAAATCCCCACTCCCAGAAGCTTATAGGGCATTAACCCTCAGGGTGAATTTGTCAGACCTTTTTGGTTGGGGACTGGGAGTGTGGGGACATGAAGGAAGCAAGGGGACATAGATTTGCAAATGTGTCATAAGACAGTGCCAGTAAAGGGGAAGCTTAGGGGCCTAAAGACAACTTGACCACTTCCCAGTCGTGCCAAGAGCCTCCCCCATCATCACTCCAGCTGCATGTAGCATCTTACTAGGTCTGCTTGGTGCAGAACAGCCCTGTAACTGGATAGGTGGTTTGGAGAATTCACCCAAACTCTAGCCCAATTTGTATTCCCTCTAGAGGAGAGATTTGGGTTGGGTAGAACAAAGAGTTGGGAATCAGAAGGGCCTTGTAAGACTGGGCTCTACCAGTCATTGGCTGTGTGGATTTGGGTAAGTAATCTTGCTAACCCACTTTCTTCTCATTTATAAAATAAGGCTAATAATAGTAACAGCAGCAAATACCTCATCGAGTCCACAGGATTGTAAAGTACACTATGCATATCACTTATTGTTGTGTAGTGAAGAGAACACAGGACTGAGCATCAGAGATTTGGGCCCTGTTATTGGTGTACGATCTAGAGAAAGTCACTTACCTCTCTGGAGCTCAGATTCCCCATAGGTAAAATGAGTAGTAGGCTAGATGGCCTCATTGGTTTGTCCCAGCCCTGTAATTCTAGGATTATCATCATGTCTAATGGATGCCCTATCCAGAGACACATCTCACATTTCAGAGATGTTTTAGGAACCTTGGGGCTTGAACAGATGCTGTTCATTGGTGTTACCTGGCCTTGTAGAGCATTTCAACTGTCTAAAGGAGGGTCTTCTGGAGGGAGGCCAGTTGGGAACAGAGCTGAGTTTAGCTCAATGGACACATACATGCCAGTTCTCAGTCCCTCTGGACCCCAAGCTGCTTCTTTTGACTGTCATTGCCTCTGCCGTTTCCTCTTTCTTTCTCACCCTTATTTCCCAGTCTGCTGCTGCTGCAGTTTAGAGTTTAGGAAGCTGAGCTGTATCTTTTAATTCATTATTCCTCTCGTTGTGCCTAGAGGGTCCAGACCAAACCAAGAGACAGCTAAACTGAAAGGTTGGTTGTGAAGATCAAAGCAAATTTTATTTAATAAATGCACTCAATCCTTTGTTAAGTAGTAAGCTCCTCATCTTTGGAAGTGGTCAAAGAAAGGCCAGTTGGCTATTTCTTCACCTCTCTAGGCCTCAGCTTCCTCCTCTATATAATGAAGTGTCAGGATCAGATTATCTCTAGGGGCCTTCCCAACTCTGACATCCTATGATCCATTACCTGCCAGGAATGTTGGAATCATAAAACCTTAACAGGGAGAAGAGACAACTCTAATGATTAAAGCTGCTGTGAGTGAATCTCTGAATATCATATGCTGGTTATTGAAGGAAAGTCTTAATTTGGGGCAAGTAGAATGGACAAAATTAACTATTTTCAAACATTTAAGAAATGAAATATGGTCCTAGCTCACCTGCTTTGGTAGAAAAGGTGGTGGGGACCAGAGTCTTGCCCTCCTCAATAACTTGGGGAGCAACTAGGAATACCTATAGCTCTGCATATGAGACTAAAATCCATTTGGCCACTTGATCCTTGAGGTTTCTTCAAATTCTTATTTTCTGTGATTATTTAAATAGGAATTCCTGCCTAGCAACTGCTATGTCTCAGCCTTGGATTGATTTAGAAATGCAAGCTTTCAAATTTCCCTGAATAGGTAAATAGGGTTTTGTATGTGTAACTTGAGGTGGCCCTGAAAAAAATCATTGAGCTTCATTAAAGGCCTTAGTGGTGATGATCAACTAGCTAGAACACCTATACCCTTTCTCAGGACTCAGTCTGAAGTAGTGGGGTATGCATGTGAAGACTATATATGCAGATCCATCTTGGAGTCCACCAAGTCTGTGTAATGACCCCAAGCACCAAACTTTGAAGGTTCCCATTTCCTTCTTCTGGGAGGCTGGACAGTGACAGCCCCAAGGACAAATGGAAGGGACTCTCCCTTCCCCTGCTGTCTTTTCTGGTCTCCCTTGAGCTTCCTTGGCTTCCACACTCTCCTATCCCATCCAAGGGCCCGATAGCCCTTCTGTGATGTCTTTCCCCCTGAAGTCTGCTCTTTCTGCCAATTTAAACTTGATTTATTCTGGATGAAAACATTGGAGAAGCTATAGCCCGTGGATTGCCCTCCCATCTAGGTGGGTATCCTCATCATGACCGTGAACATGGGTGTGCCCAGGAGTCAAAGGGATGTATGCGCACGTGTTCATAAGTAAATGGAGGAATCTTTCTCAGAAATTAGCAGAGACAGCATTTTGCTGAGCAAGCCCTGTTTCTCAAAAACTCTAGCCAAAATCATAGTCTGTGTTAAGTTTAGAGTTCCACAACTTTCAAGGGACACAGAGAACTGGGACAGGAGCCAAAGAAGGACACAGAAATGAGGAAATGGCTAACAACTAAGGTCCAGAGTGAAAATAAAAGAACTAGGACTATTCAACCTTGAGAAACGATTAACTTAATCTTTGTCTCTGAGGCATCATTATGTAGAAAGTTTCTGTTTCCACTGGAAGCTGAACAAAAGGAAATTGAGATCTCAGCAAGATGTACGTATCCACCTAAATCATGCCATACTGGGCTAGGTCAGTGCCCTCCCCACTCCACCCCTGTAGGATTTTGCCCTGCTGTGACACCAAGAAATGTCAAACTTCGAAGTATAAGAATATACCTGCAAATGGCCTTGGATTCCCTTAATAGCCTCTTCTCTTAAATAAATCATCATCTACTTATTTTCATGTGCTCCCTTTGCTGGGCACAAGTTTCCTTTTACCAGTATTTGCCTTAAATTTGCCTTTTAAAAGTGTCAGTGGGGTGGTACCAAATTTGTATTCTCATGTTTGGTCTCTATGCACCTTGTCCATATTCTCTAATACCAAGGACACAACTATGTCCCTTTGTATCCGAAGAGTTTTTTGTTTTGTTTAGGTCTGTCTTCTGTGATCAAAATTGCATACCATAATCCAAAGGACGTACACAGTTTTATTTTCTAAAGGGAAAAACATTGTTTCTGCTTTTGGTTTTTAATATCCTTCCTGATTACTGATGATCAGAGAAAACCATCCCCCTCCTCTGCTGTGATGGTATAGGTGCACCACTGACTGTATACATGTTGGGGCTATTGTGTTATATGCTTATGTTGTTATCCTGTCAGGTCTTTGTCATACTGGACCTTTTTGGTACATTTGCTGGTGTTGATTTACCCCTGAAAAATCCCTTGATTTTCTGGATACTGCAGGCAACCCTCCTCCTCCCCCTCTGGATCCTGTCCTGATTTTTTCCTTCAAAATATCTCCACATGCCATATTTCCACTACCTTAATTTTAATTCCAGTACATGTTATTTTTCTCCTGGAAGACTGCAATAGCCCTGCTATAGGCTGAATCGTGTCCTCGTGTCCGCCTCCCCCCAGATTCATATGTTGAAGTCCTAAGCCCCAGTACCTCTGAATGTGACCTTATTTGACAATAGGGTCATTTGTAGATCTAATAAGTTAGAAGGGGTGAACCTACTCCAGTATGTGTCCTTATAGAAATGGGAAATTTGGACACAGACATGCACATAGGGAGCATGCCATGTGGAGATTGGCATTATGCTGCCACAAGCCAAGGAGCTACCAGAAATGAGGAGAGAAACCGGAGACGGATCCTTCCCTAGGACTTCAGAGGAAACGTGTCCCTATCTATACATTGATCTCCAACTTCTAGCTTCCAGAACTGTGAGACAACGCATGTTTATTGTTTAAGCCAGCAGTCCCCAACCATTTTGGCACCAGGGACAGGTTTCATGGAAGACAATTTTTCCACAGGAAAATTGGGAGGGAGGATGGGAAGGGCAAGCGATGGGCAGCGGCTGTAAATACGGATGAAGCTTCACTCACTCTCCTGCCACTCACCTCTCCCTGTGTGGCCCAGTTTCTAACCGGCCACACACCAGTACTACTCTATGGCCCAAGGTTGGGGATTGCAGGTTTAAGCCACACAGCTTGTGGTACCTTGTCACAGCAGCCCTAGCAAACTAAAACAAACTTCCTTTCTTAGCTTATTTGCCTCCAGTTTCCCCTCCGATGCCTCACTGCAGCCTGAGTTATCTGAAAGGCCCCCCTAACCCTGCCAGTCCCCATATTAAAAAATCATTCCATTCCCCTCCCCCATCCACCATTTACAGATTACATTCCAGGCTCCTGAGTGTGGTTTACAAGGCTCTTGCCTAACTCAATCATACCTTCCTCTCCAGCAATGATGAACTGCTCTGCCCTGCAGAAACACGCGATGCCATTTTCAGCTGGTAACCTCTGCCCATTTCCCCAACTGTAATGCCTGTTCACACTCCTGTTTTTCTCATCTTTTAACATTCAGTGCAGACATTCCTTATACCAGGAAACATCCCCCGACATTCCCCACTATCTCCTGGGACCACCAGCACCAGCTTCCTGGGTGGGGGTAGATGACCTTTCTCTGATTCCTGTGCATTCTCTGCATGTCTGCTTCACCGTGATTTCTTTAGCTTATTAAAATGATCTCTGCATCTGTTTGCCCTACTAAGTTCTGAATTCCATAATTGTGTGTGTATGTGCACCTAAATTTGTATATTTAAAATAAGAGCAATTCTCCTGGGAGTTGGGAGGGGGTGACACAGGAGGTAGGTATCTGTGGCGTGGGGTGGATTATGGATAGGTGGGTATTACTATCCCACACCAGCCGGCTCAGTATCTCCAAAGCTTCTTTCATCTCCTTTGCTGTTTTACACTCAGAGAAGCCAGAGTGGGGGCTTGGGGAGGTACAAAACCAAGATTTCCCCCTACCGCTCCTTCCAAGCCCCAGTATAATCCCTTGGAAAGAATGCTGGACTGGCCCACGCCAACAAGTCATCCCATAAGAAATGGCCCAGTGCCCTCTATTTAATGTACTGAATGCCGTGGGAGCTGCAAAGTCACGCAGCCTTCTGGGGGAGGGGGCAGGGGCCGGGCGGGAGGCCCATGGAATGAAGAAGTACGTTCAACACTAATGCCTGGATTCACTGACACGCTTCCCACGGCAGCTGAGAGATCTCCCCCCCTCCGCTCCAAAGGCATTCAGGCCCTCAACTCTACCCTCCCTCTCCTGTAAAAGCCCCGGGTCCTCTCTCCAGACCCTTTCTTACTTTTCTGGTCTCCTACCTGTCTGGATCAGAAGAAGGTAGACAAAAGGAGCGAGGTGAAGGGCTCTGGAGGCTCTGGACGGGGCTCCCCTTTCTCTCTTCATTTTGGGTGGCGATCTCCAGCTCTGGTGCGGACAATTAGCATGATTTCTCCACTCTGGGCACGTCTCTTTGTACCACTCGGAGTTTCTCTGCCCGAACACAACCCTGCCAACTTCCCTCTGAATACACAGAGCTCTGTGTATTGCTGGACTTGTGCTTTCCTCTCTCTCAGACCTGGCATTTTCCAGTTTCCCAGCCCTTCATCCCCAGTTTGGAAGGGGGTATCTGCTTAGGAGATAATCTCCAATGCAGGTTCCAACATGGGGGGCACCGGTGGCCCAGGAGTTTGTCACTGGTCTGTGCTGAGCCCCACTGGCAGGGGAGATGAGGATCTGGCTCAGTGAGGGCGCTGGGCTGGACACACACTCAACCCACCCTGTCTCCTCCTCACTCTCCCTCTTCCTGAGAAGGAGGGAATGTGCCAGGACAGACTTCCAACAAACTCTCAAAGGGAGGGAGAGGAGATTTTAAAAAGCTGGGAAGCGAGAGACTCCAAACAATTGCTGAAGAAATGGCAAACCCCCATTTCACCCAAAAAAGGGCAGATTGGAAAATGGCTTGAATTCTTTTACATTCACACCTGTCCTCATCCTGCTTGGAATTCTCGTTTCTATCGTAGAATCACATAGATGCTGGGGACTTCTTTCCAGAAGACACTCTGTTCGTTCCCCTACCTCCAGCCAGTTTTCTAGAACACATCAGAGCAAAGATGAAGGTAATGCCCTAACAGCCAGCATCCTGGGGTCCTGTTACCAGCTTAACTGCCTAGCTGTGCCCTCCTGTCTCAAGGCTGTGATGAGGAGAAACACCCCAGCTCTAGCCTGACCCCCACTCATGTGTCCGCGCCTTCTCAGAAGGACCGCCAGCGGAACACTTAGTAACTGCCATCTTGGGAGGGGCTCACAACCTCTGAGCTTCTGATTTTTCTTCTGTAAAATGAGACAAACAATAGCTTCCTTGGAATTATTGTGAGGATTGATAAAGACTTAATACAGCAGAATGCCTAGCGAATTCTTTATTAAAAAGTTGACATTTTAAACTTTTTCTAAACTGCCTTTTCTTCTTTTTTTTTTTTTCATTCATGCAAGGATCTTTGTATCTTGGTGAGACCAGGGTTCACAACTCCCCTCTTGGTCATCTCTAACCCTGGCCTTGGTTCTATAAATGCAGCAATTAGCTCTCTAAATACTCTTTTTACACACTGGAGAGAGTCTGAGGTTTATAGAACTGAAGCATCATTGCATAGACCATCTGAGCCCAGGCAGGGGAGGAAGCATTTGGAAGCATTGATTCTGAACTTCACAGAGGAATTCCAAAAATATTCTGAAATATATAAATAGGATTTTTTTTCCTTTTGCATTTCTGTGTTTATGACTGTTCCCGAGACAACTCAAGGCACCTGTGTGCCTCTGGAAGAGCTAATAATGTTACAGCAGGTCCACAAACAAAAAGAAAAAGTCAATATTCAGCTTCTCATATTTAAAACAATATTTTAAAATCAGCAAGACAAAAGGCTTAAAAGCCAGTCTTTGTTAGGGACAAAGGGATATGCTAATTTCTTTTATCTATCCCTTTGATATATCACGGAGCAGACTGTGGACCAGATCACAGGGTTTTCTTATAGTGTAGATGAGTGTCATTTGTCTGTGGCGGCTAGGCCTTGAGATTTATGTGCTGGGTGTAAAAGGAGGGTATGATGTTCAGGAAATAGAAAGCCTGAAGTCTGCTTTTTTTAAGCAGAAGGACCATGGAAAGAAAAACGTGACAGATGGAGCCCTAAGAGGATCTGTTATATGTTCTCAATATCGGCCCTGTCCCCTTGGGATGGCAGTTAGGTTCTTTGTACACACACAGAATTTTAAGGGCCTGAGTGCCCACAAACCCTTGAGGGGACTCTGAGGTGCTGAGAGGGGAACGAACTGGCAGAAAGCAGAAGACGGAGCAAAGGTGCTACAGTGTACAGGGATTTTGAGGCCAGAGGCAGCAGCTGGGGCCACCAACTGCTATGGTGGCAGCCAGCCTGTAGCTCATCCAGGCAAGAGAGGGAGCAGCCTAGACTCGCAGAAACCAGTCCTGAGAATGCCAAATGGGTCCACGGACACTGTCTCCCCCTGCTGCCACAGGTCACCTCAGCCACAGCACCTACACTCACCCCATCCCTTCTTAGAGAGGAGCAGGAGTTGGGGGAGGAAATCGGAAAGACTGCTAGGGCCATTGCCTGAGCTGTCTGAGCACAGACTGGGCTACCTAAAGAGAGTGCTAAAACGGTTGGGCCAGACTGGGCTTATGTTACGTGACAACACTGAATGCAGTGACATTTAGTTTTCCTCTGCTACCCTGAGCAGTGAAGACCACAGCAGCTACAGAGACGTGAAGGTGCTACCTTTGCTTTGTATGTCTGAGTGTTCAGTGAGTCATTTTGCTTCATTTTACAAACAGGAAAATCTAAACTTTCGAGAGGTTAGTAACTTGTTAGGGTCACATAGCTACTAAGTGGCAGGATTTGGATTGGAACTCAGGTTGATCACCAACAAAGCTTAGGCCTTTGACTACCCCCTCTACTTATCAGTAGGAAGTCCTCCTCCTGGTCTAACCTTTTGCGCCCAGCATCTACTCTTTGCCTAAGCTCAAGATGTAAGGTGGCCTTCTCTGCCCATTCCTTGTTCACACTAATATTGCTGAAAGTATTTTGGTTTTGTGTTGTTGTTGTTCCAGAAACCTACGTGCTAAGGGTACTGGCATTGTCCCTACCATAAGCTCAGTTTGCCGGAACGGAGAGAGGACTCAGGAGGCAAACACTAGCCAGAGAATTTGTGGAGCTGCAGAGCATTGCCTGGGAAACAAGGAATTTGTGTGAGGCTTTGTGTTGAGAGGAGGCAGGGCTCAGCTCCTACAGCAACCTCTGAACAAGAGACAGATTAGCCAGCTCCGTTGGAACAAAACAAGCTTTTTGTAAGCCAGGACAGTGAGGAATGGCCCTCCCCAAGGACGTTTTTTTAAAAATTCATTTTCTTTCTAAAGTTCTCCTAGGTGGCCCTACTCTGGGTCACTTCTGAAAAACATCAAATAGAAAGTGGAGATGCGGTCAAAAGTCTCCTCCTACCCTTCCCAGTGTCTTCATCCTGAACACTGGTTTTGCTGCCTGCTGGTTTCTGTAACCATGAAGAGTCACTCAGAGGAAAAGGATTTTGCAGAGATATGGTGTCTCCCCAAGGCGTGGAGTTTCTTGGGAGAAAGACATGATCCCAGGGGTGGCGTGGGGGCCTGGGCAAATTTTCGGAAGGCAGAGAGGAGGTGTTCCCATTTCCATATTGGAAAATGGGGGAGAACATCAAAGCCTTTTATGCTGAGAGTAAATTTTTGATTTCTGAATAGAATTCCTGCCCCCTCAGAAACTGAGAGAAACTCAGGCTTGTGCCCATGGTTGCTAAACGTGCCCTGTTCAGCAACTCTCTAGCCGAACAAAGAGGAGAAATTAATTGGCATTAAAGGGAAAGACCCAGCTTTTGCAGACCTATTTAAGATGCAGCAGGACTTTCTAGAGAACATCTCTGGAGTTCTGTTCCTGTAAAGCTTCAGTGGTCAAATACAAACAGGTTGAAAAATCACAGGAAAGCCACAAATTACGCCCCAACTCATGAAAGGCTTCATTGTTTCCCTCCTCCTAGGTCCTCAGATGATGTCCACCCACCAACCATGTCCCGGAGAAGGATTCACTCCCACCCCGCTTCGCTCACCCTCCTCCCGAAGAGGGAGGCACAGAAGTGGAAATCAGCTGGCCGGCATCGGATAATTGCCTACTGTGTGAAGAGTACTCCATGTTCCAGACGTGAATAAGAGCAGTGGGATGTGGGAGAGGGGGGAAGGCGGCACATTCAAAAGTAATAGATGACACGATCCCTGTCTAGGAGCGGGAATACATTGGGAAAGCTGCATCTACACATGTCACTGATAATATATTTGCATTGCCCTTTACAAATTATCTTTTAGAATATTATTTAACCTTCTAACAACTCTATGTGTGGGAGGAATTTCTTGCATCATGTAACAAAATTTTGGAGAGAGCAGGAATAATTGGAAATGAGATAGTGTAAGTATTCTATATCTGTACTGTTAAGTATGGTAGCCATTGGTCTCATGCGCCTAGTGGATCTGCGGAAATAAATTATAAATTTCATTTAATTTAAATTTAAATAGCATATGTAGTTGGTGGTTAGTACATCTGACAGTACAGCTTATCATCCAAGGAGGAGAAGAAGATTCTTGGTGAATGTAGTTAAAAAAAAAAATCCAGGCAGAGGACTTTGGTTGGCCTAGCTTCGGGTCACATACACAATTCTGGATCAATCATTGTAGTAAGGAGAATAAAATACTATCCTAGGCTGAGCCATGTGTCTAACCCTATAGTCACTGGTGAGGCTGTTATTAGAGGAAATGGGAGAAGGGACACTGGGCAGACAAATTAAACTCTCCTAAAGTTTTATCACTTCTATCTTGACTTCTATGTTGCTTCAAAAAAAGAATTAGCAAGAATTTATTGAAAATCTAATATGTGTGCTGCATTTTACATATATTACCGTACTTGTCTCAAAAAACAAACAAACCCTGAAAGGTCAACTATTACCCCTCAGTTTATAGATCTAGAAACAAAGATTCAGATAATGTGACTTAACCACAGACAGTAAATTGCAGACTCACAATATAACCCCAAGTTTGTCTCTAAAGTCTCTTTTCTCTCCTGTAATATGAGGTCCCTAGAGATCTGGGATACAGAAAATGTGACTATTCTTAGTAGATAATTTTAACAATCATAGCAGAACACACACGAATAGTTTGGCTTTCTCTAAATAGTTATCTAAAGAGCCATCTATAAAACATTTTTAATATTCCTCTTTTAAAAATGCTTTTAGAGCTTGTAATATTTTAAAAGTATCTTTAATGATTGTAATTTTTATACTTTGAGTACATTTTTTTAAGTTAAAAGTATGGTGAATAATATAAGTAACAAGGATAGATAAAATAATTTTGTCCCAAACCAGCTTTATAGTAAGTTTAAAAGTCTCCTTAGTTAAGTGTCTTTGGCTTCAAAGAAGTTACATCAGAGAAGAGGCATATTGCATACACAAGCTACACAAGACCTGGATCTGGAGCTGGAGGACTCAATTTCTTGAGGTAGCTCCTGGAGCAAATGTTTGTAGGTAGCTCTGATTCTTTCTGCTTGTCTCCCTTATTCTCCTATATTTACCAAGTGAATCCGCTATTCTGCTCATCTCAAGGCTATATTACAAATAATATAAAACCTAATGCAAATTGGTAGTAATGCTAAACAACTTTATTAACTCATACATTTAGAAAGTCTCTAGACTCTCTAAAGGTGGGATAGCCTCGAGAGTTAGTTTAATTCAGAGGCTCCCCAAGGTCAACGGGGAATAGGAAGAAGGACTTTAAATTGGTGAGATCATCTGCTTGAAACATTGCAGGTCTCTTTGAGGCTGAAATCATGGTCCATCAGAGTTGTTTCAAGTTAAACCCAAATGGCTGGGCCTTTACATGCCTGTATCCATCAGTTATGGGGTGTAGCTGCTCCTCAA